TGATTACAAAATTGACAACAAAATTAATTGACAGCAGTTTAATCATTTAAGTCATTAACTAAACAAAAGTACCAAACATTTACCAGTTGTACCTTCTCAAAAGGTTTTAAAGCAGTAAGTAAATTGAATGTGTTTTAGAGTTTTGGACTGGCGGTCCGTCAAAACGAGAATTTTGATATCACTTTGGACATTTGCTACTTTCTGACATTTTATTGAATAAACATCAATTTAAAAAAAATGGACAGACTAATTAATAATGTACACAGAGCTGAAAGGATTTGTCGATTCATTTGGATTCGAACCCTGGGCCGCTGCAGCAAGGACTTGGTACATGGGTCGCCAGCTCTACCCACTGAGCTAACTGGGCGCCTCAATCAGCAACAATTTTGATATTTAATCAAGATTCTGTGGTTTCACATTCTTGAATGTGAATATTTGCTCTTTGATAGTTAACTGTATATCTTGAAGTCTTGTCACTCAGACAAAACAAGCAATATGAAGACTTCACCTTTTGTAATGGCCATTTTCACCCCTTTTTTTATAGTTCATAGATTAACCTATTGATAAAGAAAATAATGATTACATTAATCAATAATAGAAAAATAATAATTAGTGGTAGCCCTAGTTTATATTACCATTGTATAATCAGTTGTAATCATGGATCCTAAAACAGTCCACACAACAGATTGAACATACAATAATAATGACTGTAATTTACCATTGGAGACCATCATCTCTTCCAACAAACACTGCGCAATGGGAGACTGAGAAATGGGATGAAAGAAAATTATTTTCTTTGTCCTCTATGATAGTAAACTGAATATCTTAAGATGTCAGCTGGGGCTTTAGGACATGTTATAGTCCAAACAATTAATCGATTAATCAAAAATATTAACAGTCGTCAGAGTAATTAGTTATTAGTACTATTAGTTGTTATTAGTTACAGCCCTAATAGAGTGTTATGTCTGATATGACATCACATATAACAATGTGCCAGTTTCATTACGTAGTCTCAGCGCTTTTAGATTCTTATTATTAATTATTGTTTTGCATTTTGGGTAATATTTAGAATAATAATAAAGCGTACAGTAGTTTCAGGGCCAAACGTAAACAGCCTCAGAGCTGCTGCTCTTTGTTTAATGATCATGTGAATCCATGTGTGGGCTGCTGATGTGTGAGCACAGGGCGGCATGACATGTCTGTGGTTATACATACAGTATATGATACATGTGTCTGTGTTTGTATATTATCGTCTACATGTGTGGCATGTCTGGTGCAAATAGTTTTTTCATTGTGTGTGTGCTTCTGTGTGTGTGTGTGTGTGTGTGTGCGCATGCGTGCGTGTGTGTAAAACTGTGTACACTGTACACACAGTCGCGCACAAATAGCTCCTGAGGGCCCTCGCAATCACAGACTGCCAAAAGGAAAAGGATTTCCGAGAGGTTTCCTTCTCGCTATTTAAAGTGGGAGCCCTGTGGGACATGTTTGGCATTCTCATCCACTCACTGAAGATGGCCTGTGATCTGAAGCCACTAACAGGCTCAGCATGCTCTGTCTCTGTCTCTCGCTCACTCTCTCTCCCTTTCTCTTTCCCTCTGGCTCTCTGAAGTGATTACCCTGCTTGTGATTCCACTGACACCCACATGTCCCCCCGAGACGTGCCTTCACTAGTTTGTTTAATCTGCCTCCCTGTACAGTAGGTAACGCAGCCATAATTGAGGTGTGGATAGAGCTGTGGGAACAGATGAAACCGATAGCAGGTTTTATTTTATGAAAACTTGTCTGTGTTATAAATTGCCATGGATGACAGCAGTCGCTTAATTAACGTACAAAATGCCACTGTGATAAGAATTCAAAATGTTAATATCTAATAGTGCAATCTGTCAGACCTTTGTTTCTTAATGTGTCCCCAGTCAATAAATGATGAAACCCATAATATAAGAGTCACAAAGATCAGCGTTTCATTAAGGATTAAGGATTGAAATGTTGCTGGAAAAGTTGTGGATCCAGTCGTTCGTTAAGCAACTTTTCTCAGTTTCCACCCAGGCTGACAATAAGATAATGAGTTATCTGAGATTAGAATACCATTAGCGGGCCTTGCAGTCAAGCAGATATTTGATCTCAACAACATATGACTTCCAAAAGTTGTGCTGATACCTGAGACAGATTCAGCTTTACACTCTATTTGAATTTTTTGATATGAAAACAGCAAGTGGAACTGTGAAAATGCAAGCATCAGATACTCTATCTCCCCCGGTTAGTGTCTCGCCTCTGTCTGTAACACGCTTGAAGTGCTCTGTTCAGAACATACAGAGTGTCAATCATCGCCCAAATCAGCCTTTAGATGAAGCAAAAAATGAACAAAAATGATCTATACAACTGAACTTGAATTAATTAAATATACTGTATCATACTTCCTCTGAGAGATTGCATCTGTCGTCAGATGTGTAAAAAATAAAACATTCTGAGATATCTTTTTAAACCCTATTATTGTAAGATACCAGTAATTAAATTGACAGTGTTATTAATTGGGTTGAAGATAACTTGTATTGAGTCGAGGACATCTTAAACTCAATTAAAGATATCTCCAACTCAATTAAAGATATCCAAATGCCATGTCCCGCAATATGCAATCAGGCTCTTTCTGGCGCAATAATATCAGTTCACTTGTGCCCCTTTTACAAAGACTTAGTTGTACTTCTAAAGTTTTCTTTTTATCATTTAAAGCCTGATATTTTGAAATGGATGTCGTCCATGTCACACTTTGGTGATGTGTACAGTTTCTTTAATGTCGCCTAATTATAGTATTTAATCCTTCCTTATCCAGCGTTTGAAATAGAAATGAAGATTGGGCACTTCTGACATCAGGAAAGGAAACCTTTTAAGGGATAGCTTAAAATTTGTGGAACAAGGTAGTATGAGTTGATGCATGGGCCACAGCTCAGCCTGCAGTAGGGATCCTGTGGCTGAACAGATCCACAGCGAGCCGGCAGCCTGTCAGACAGAAATGAACAGCAATAAATGGAGGCAGGTGGCAGAATCATTTCCGAAGACTTAAAAATGAAATGTCACCATCCATCCAGCGAGTATAAGTGCTTTAGTTTCTGATCTCTGATGCTTGATTGTAGTTCTAAACAACTGATTAATCATCTAAAACTTAAATGGCAACAGTGTTGATAATTAGGCTTTAAGTCTTTTACCAGGAAAAAAGTCTAAACATCTTAAATGTGAAGACTTGCTGCTTTTCTCTTGTTGTTTGTTGAAAAAATATCCATACATTTGGGTTTTTGACTGATGATCAAATTAAATTGGTAATTTGAAGATGTCAACATGGGCATTTTCTAGATGTTTTTTATTTATTTTTTTTACACGTTCTAGACGACACGATTAGAAGATTAATCAAAAAAAGACCTGGAACAGACTCGCGAACTTGAAGTTAATTAAATGTCCTCATAGGTTTATGTGATTGCCACCAGTTCTAATCATGTCAACTTTGTTTCTTGGCAATCGCATCACTTTGGCATGGCACATGGCTCTAAATACAACAATACCCATGAGCCTCAGCCGCTGTTGCAATGGAGAAGAGATGCAAATCAGAGCTGCAGCCAATTCAAAACGTTTAGTTGCTAAATTAATCCCATATTGAACCAGTGGATGTTTCTAACCAAATAACACCTACATACAGTTTTTCCACCAAATGAGTTGAACCAATTTTGTTCTGTTCAAGGTCCACCATTTCTGAGCAGAACCATTGTAATCAAGGATTCCTCAACAGAGGGAGTTTTACAATAGACCTAGGTTATTATAGTTAAATTAAAAACTAATACTAGGTGTGGAAAATATACATTTTAGTTAACTAAGAAAGTGGAATTCAGAAAAACAAAAAACTAAAACCATACTGTGTACTTACAAAACAAACTTAAATAGAATGCCTGGTTAGCTCAGTCGGTAGAGCTGGTGACCCACGTACGGAGTTGCTGCAGTGGCCCAGGGTTCGAATCTGACCTGCAGCCCTATGCTGCGTGTCATCCCCCCTCTCTCTGCCCCCCTTTCCTGTCCGTCTTCGGCTGTCAATATCCAATAAAGGCAATAAAAGGCCAAAAAAAAAAAAACTTTGGGTCAAATTTGCCAACAAGTATGAGGAGACATTGTTTATTGAGACTGGGATACATGAGAGTCAATTGCCTTTTGTATTGTAATAACAAACGTATTAAATAACGTATTAAATATTACCCCTAACAAATACCCCCCATATTATAATTTAAAAAATGTAATCTCCTACTTGAGGCCTACTTGAGTTGTAATATGTACACAGCATTGTGTCTTTGATTTTTTTTTTTTTATATTTCTAACTGTCTGTGGTACTGATAATTCAAAACAAGAGAGTTTTATGTCCATCTGAGCTGTAAAATTGTACCAACTCTGACTCACGCCACATAGTCTATGGAGAAAGAAATTGGACTATTACTTCTGCAACCAGGGGCCACTAAAATAGCTCCTTTCACTGCACAACTCATAATCAAAATAATCAGTAGTTGCAACCATACTTGATTCTCCTCTCAGATCCTTTTGTATCATGAAACTATTCAAAAACACAATAGTTCCAGGATAATAGATATGTGAACTTTGCACTTGAAAGGATTATTTTCACATAATTTTTAAGAAATGTGTCTCTTGGCAAAGCCCATTTCTTTTGACCTGTCTGGGTTTGAGATGTTGTATCACTGTCCTGAAAGAGATTCGCTGCACACAGTTGGATGCTTCCTCTCAGGTCAAGCTGTTTACTATCATCAGAGCGTCTGCCAGTGCTTGGAAACAGAGTCACACTTCACAGCTCTGCTGCATAACAGTATACATGATTGGATCATTTATTTTTGATCTTTATGGTTTTTCAGTGAGGGGGCTGTGACTGCTGGTTTCCTGATGAATGTGATCTGACCTTAAATATCTGGATTTATGATGAATCTGCTCTCATTCTCCCCTCCTCTTCCTCTCCCCAGGGCGCTGTGCCAGCTGTGGAGAGAACGTTGTGGGTGAAGGCACCGGCTGCACTGCCATGGACCAGGTCTTCCATGTCGACTGCTTTGTCTGCATGACCTGCAGCACCAAGCTGCGTGGCAAGCCTTTCTTCGCTGTGGAGAAGAAGGCGTACTGTGAGCCTTGCTATATTGTAAGTAACTTTTTTTCCCTTCAAATCCACCTGCCTCACCGCTTGGTTTGGCTCGCTCTCGTTCCATGTTTCAAAGGTGCACTTTATGATATCAGGAGTGGGGACATTTTAGGCCTGTGCCTGGAATGTTCAAATATTTCCACTTTCTGGCAACCACATTTCATTTCATCAAAGTCCGACAAGCTGCCAGCTCTCACCACACACATCTTCATTTCCTCTTTTTCTTTGGCTTTGTTTTGTTTTTGGTCACTCAATGAAACTCTTTCACGATTTCTTCTCCTGAAAGTGGTTTCTTGCCGTCACGCAGTTTTCAAGGCCACGTAGAAGTACCTGAGAAGATGCTGAAATTAATGTACAATAGGCAATTACTATTAGTACAGGAACTGAGTTTCTCTCAGCTCTACACAACTTTTGTTCATTTTTGAGCCGATTGTTTTGGTTAAACTCAATGAATGCAGGTTTAAGACAAAATTTCTAGTTTTATTGTTGCCGGTTTTTGACAGCGATATCAAATGTTAATAGAAGCTGTAAAATTAATTAGCATAGCTTCAGATTTAACCTTAGTGATAGTGATAAACACAAGGCTAGCACAAAACTTTTTCTAGCCCAGGAAAACCTGATAGATTATTCATTTGTTCTGCCTGAATAATGAATCAGAGATGCATTCATAGAGGATTTTCAGATATCTCTTCCTTGGTGAATTAGCTGATGATTATATTGTGTTCACTTGCACATCATTCAGTGAGCTGATGCATAACTATCTGGAGTTAAAGCTGATAAGCAGTCAGATATGCTTTAAATGCACTTGAGTTAATAAAAGAGTGTCAAAATCACGTTGGAATGTAACATTGTGTTCATTCTCTTTGTGGATCCGATAATACTGAAGATTCTGCCTCATCTGTTTCCTCATTTTTACTTTTCTAAATCACTCTTCTGATCAAAAGTTGACCGGACTGAGGAAATGACTGACAATGAGATATCCCAGAAGGCTTTTAAGTTATTTCTAATTTTGGGTATTTTTATTTCTTCTTAAAAAACTGTGACCTGTTTTTCTGTCGCGATGTTGCGCAACAGACATGAAAGTATTTCCTTGCACAATATTGTCAGGAAAGACGCATCATCTTGCAAGACCACAAGGAAACCCTTTTTGCAGAAGTTTTTCCCTCATTCAGTTTCATTAGAATATGGTTCAGTTTTTGTCCAAAGACATGCAGGTTATAGGTTAATTGGTGACCCTAAATCGCCCGTAGGTGTGAATGTGAGGGTGAATGGTTGTATGTCTGTATGTGTCAGCCCTGTGATGAACCAGCCTCTCATCTGGGATCGGCTCCGGGCCCCCTGCAACCTTATGAAGGATAAGGGGTTATAGATAATGGATGGAGTGTGTTAATTCCTGTTTACAAAACTGTCACTGAAATAAATGCATACAAATACAGTAGTATCCAATGTGGTGATACATTTGGATATGGACAGATACGTTTTTTTATCCAGAAGATTACAGAAATGGATCTTTGACAGATTGTATTTTGTTTGTATATGATATACAGCTCTGGATACATTTCCATAAACTTATATACCCATGGACCTTTCCTGACACAGGTCCTCTCTGTTCAGTGTATGACCTGCTATCCTGTCGCTAAGTTGCGCAACACACATTAAAGTATTTCCTTGCACAATATTGTCAGGAAAGACACATCATCTTTCAAGACCACAAGAAAATCCTTTTGCAGAAGTGTTTCCCTCATTCGGTTTCATTAGAATATGGTTCAGTTTTCTGGATTTCCAGTTGCTGGATGTGACATGGTCCAAGTTTCTTATAGTCAGCAATATTATGGGTAAGTTTCTGGGTCATTCCTGGAAGCTGAGACGGGAAGTAGCTGTAAAGCATTGAAATTACCCTATACAGTGGAAATCTTTCGGTTACATATTTGAATTTTCATTCTTGCTTTTTTATTATAAGCTATATAGATTTTTGCATTCAATGTGTTCCATATCAAAGTCTGTTTACAAGACTTTTGTATGAGTGAAAAAAGTTGTGTAAAGCCTTTTGGCACATCCAGAGGGATCTGCACAAAATCTGAGTCAGAATCGGTTGGGGTTGAAGACTACAAGTTTGAACATTTAAAAAAATGGGGGTGTGCAGTTTACCAAACTTCTGGAGCCCACTCCTTATCTCTGCTTAAGGCTAGCAACATGAGGCTACATTAGCCACTGCTAGCATGTTGACTACTGACAATTCAATTGCATTGTGGGTCATATAGTTACCATGTTTTGACAAGGAAAAATTATTTGTGGAGGAAAAAAAGACTATCTCTGGTTTTGCAGTATCGATTTGATCCTTTATTAAACATTGCACTCCTGGAATAATGTTACAGGGATTCGGTGCTAAGGAAGTGGAGCACATATCTTTGTTCCATTCCTGCAGCTCGTGAACAGTAAAAGTCTGAGTTTGTTCCTACAGGCAAATTAGAGCCACACTTAAACAAATGCTGTCAGGTAGTTATTTGTCCACAGAATACAAATGTTCCACTGTCCAGATAATAGATAATACACTTTGAAAGAAAGATGATTGGATTTGTACTGGTAGCAATGCAGCATGCAGCTTGCTAGTTAATGAGAAGTTAGGGCTTTGCTTTTAGTGGATAAGGGATGAAGCATCTTGATGACCAGGGCAGCATAAAGGTAACTGCTGATATTTACAGTAGATGATTTTTAGAAAACATCTTGGAATAATGACAATTCGTTGTCCTAAAGAAATAAATTAGAACACACACTGATATTATTGATTCTTCTGAAGCAGCACATATTAACTTGTACTTACAGTTTTCCTTCACATCACTTGCAGGAAATGGCTTGATATGCACTTTACCAGTAAAGTCTCGAGCTAAATGACGTTTAAACCAGTGGCAGGCCATCTCCTAAATCATCCCTTTTCAGAGGCACTCACTGTGATTGTAGTTGTCTTGTCTGGAAGTTCTCCAACTCTGATACATGCGCTAAAGAGGAGCGGGATAATTTAAGAACTTTATTTATGCATTTCATCAGCATAAATGTTCTTCTGGCACAAGATCAAAAGGATGGGGGAAATCTGAATTTCTTAATGAAAGTAATTTCTTCTTCTTTTATTCCCATCCTCAGGGTCATACGCCTCTGTACGATTAGAGAATGAACGTGAGAGTTGAGTCTCTGAAGAGAAATGTCATATCCCAGAGAGAAAGAGGAAAACTTGAAGTTAGCCTCTAAGTCAGTCAGTCTAGGAATCTCTAAGAGCAAACGGACATTAAAGATTCACTGTGAATTTGTTTTTTGACTGTAGATTCTGTACTGTTCTCCCTCTTCTACTTGCCACGTAATACATTATATTAGCAGCATATTAAACCCTTATTAACCCCCTGTTTTCCATCTTGAAAGGGCACTCAAGTTCTAGTCTAGTCTAGTCTCTAGTCTGGCCCCCCCATAAGGTTGTGGGACCTTTTAAAGAAGTATTATATATGAGTTTAGTTAGTGTGATATTGTGATGTAACTTAACTGTTGACTTTTCCTGACCTTTCAGGAATTTGGGGAATTGAATTATTCACTCTTTTTCCAGGAATTAGATGAGAAGATTGATACCACTCTTATGTCTGTATGCTAAATATTAAGCTGAAGCCTGCAGGTGGTTAGCTTAGTGTAACATAAAGACTGCAAGCAAGGGGGAACAACTAGCCTGCCTCTGTCCGGATTTAAAAGAAACAAACAAAAGATGACATCCTTCAGCTGTTTTCACAGGGTGAATTATACTTTCTATGATGGGTAAACTGAACTTGGATTCGTAAAATTGGTGTCGTTTCCCTTTAAATTCAGATCGTATGTATTCAATTAGAAAACAATATCTATCTAGTATCTATCTATCTTATATAGTTGATACTTTTTGACTAATTCATTTTTTTTGTACTCTATGTACTCAGAGTTTTTATTATTATAATTATCAACTTGTTTTATATATTCTATATCCTATATGTTGCACCCTCTGGCAGTGTATTGCATTTAATGCAGAATACAGTACAGGTATAACAGGGGCCTAAGGAAACTTGCTGTGTGTAGAATCTGTATAATAGTATGCAAAAATCTATTAATCCCTTTGCCAAGAATTGCAGGAATACATTTTGCATGCCACACTGATTGCCATCCAATAAAGTTTTCTGCCATGTATCAGAGTAGGCGATCAGCAGCCCCCTTATCTAGGCTGAGACTTTACATATTCTGTGGAACAATGCTGGCATTTGTATTGGCACGATCCATCTCTTCCGCTGGGTGATTTGCCTCATTCAAACTGTTTGTCTAGATATCATTAATTCCTTTTAGTAATGTGCAGGAACTCACCCACCTCTGTTATCGTCACCTGTGTACTTCCTGATTTTACAACCTGCTATCTCTCTGTCTAACCAACCTCAGTCACACCACTGGCGCAGCAGTCAGCCTTTGTCCTCGGCACTTCCCTGGCTTGCCTCCATAGAGGACTAATCTCTGCCTATTTGAATACACAATGACGGTGATAAACTCTGCCGACGTTCACTTAATGTCTCGTTTTGCATGGAGAGCTTTGTAATCGTGTTAATGTGACAACACCTGGTCAACATTGGTTTCTTTGTTTTTTTTCTTGTCTGATGTGCCTCAGCCTGAGGTGTCCCACAGCTTTCCCCATTTCATGTTTGCACACATGATAAGACATAAAGTACGAGTGTGTGTGCAAACACCACCCAGTGAGCCGTCCATCATTGTTACTGAGAGACAGCAGTTTTGAGTTTTAGTGCCACTAAGTGTTTTCCAAGAAAGCTCTCATGTGAAACATTTTTCAGTAGATTCAAAATATTGCTGACTGGATGTTTTCTGCAAACTGGAACAAATTAATCACAGGGCATCTGGAAATTCACAAATTGGAGAGAAACCCAGTGAAAAACCGTACGATATTACAACAATATTTTCCATCACAGCCAGGTGTCTTAACTGGGTCTCTAGTA